TGTCACTATCAAGATGACAATATATAATATCTGCATGACCATGACAACAATATACTAATAATAAAACAACACTATTATATATAGAGGATCCTAAGAACTATAACATAAGCGATATCATACATCTTCCCTTTCAAGCTTTTTTTTTTTTTCAAAGATTTAGTTTTTCTGGTTTTTTGATCGCGCGACCAGAACGTGTAAATATCGCGTCTTTGAGAGGAGGACTGTTACTTATCAAACTATTCTCAATTGTCTGGTTGGATTGAGGAGCATGTATGATGGGTTCAAGATTGATGATGTCTGGTTGGGAACCACTGTTAGAAGGTTTCATATCATTGTGTTCTGAATGATCAACATGTTCTCTACTGATAGGGCACGGATTTTGTGATTCTCTAATATCATATCGGTTCCTTCTAACTGTGTTACCATAACAATCCTGCAACATATAAGATCTTGGTGCATTATGATTACTAACAACTCTAGCTGGTTTCCAAGTATGATGAATATGATCATGAATTGTTACATCACTATTTTCCTTTATAGGTTTTAAAACTTTGGCATGTTTATTGAAATAATATTCATGTGTGTCACGTTTGGCTTGCATTTCAGCCATTACATCAACACACAGACTGGGCTTCAATAAACCAACACTCGCAGGTACTTTAGTCTTGCATATTCTACTTTTCAAAAGCTGTGATGGGGAATATCCCATGTTCTTTAGTGGAGAGTTTCTATAATTTAATAAAGCTGACTGAAAATCTGTATTTTTCGTCTCATCCATTGTTTTCTTAATCAAATTTTTTGAAATTGAGACAGCTTTTTCTGCTAATCCATTGGACCTTGGATAATATGGACTTCTGAATACAAGACTAAAGTTCCAATCTGTACTAAACTTTTTGAATATCGCACAATTGTAGGGAACATTATCACATTGAAGAAAATCAGGAGATCCAAATCGAGAAAAAACAGTTTTGATCTGAGTAATCACAGAATTAGCGCTTTTGTCTTTGATTGGTAAAAGGTCGAGCCAGTTGGAATAAGAGTCAAATAAAATTACATAACTCTTTCCCCCATAGGTGAATATATCAGAAGCAACCCTTTCCCATGGCCTACTAGGTAATGGATATGGTAACAAAGTTTGTTTAGAGTTTTTTCTGGCATATTTTTCGCAAGACCTGCATGACTTTATATAAGACTCAATATCTGTCGTTAAACCTGGCCAATAAAATACTCTGCGTGCCTGTGCCTTAGTTTTTTCGATGCCAACATGTCCCTCATGCAATAATTTCAACATTTCCTGTCTCAAGGTTCGGGGAACTATCAGTTTGTTTTCTAAAAATATAAGGTCTTTACAAACAAATAATTTTTCAAGTCGAAGCCCTGAGGGGGCAGAAGGACGATCTAGCCTTCATAGCCATCTAGTGGCTTAAGTGCAAGGTGTATAGGTAGATTCATCAATCATACCTTGCGACTAAGTCGTGCATATAGACCCCTACGTCTATATGCTTACAGAAAAGACATCCATGTCAGATTCTGTAGACTATCGCAACACCTGTAATTCTCAAAGTGGTTTAATGTTCCACTAACAGATGGTGATAAACCTAGAATCTCAAGACTAAGAGTTTCTAGGGAAATTTCGTGAATCGATTGTCAGCTGATGCAAGACAGACTAGGTCGCCATTGGGTTTTTCTACTATAACTAATGGATGAACCCATTCAGAGGGTTTATCAATTTTTTTTATAATTCCCTTGATTTCAAGATCATGCAATTTTATTTTTAAGCGCTCATGTAACACATGAGGTACCCTTCGAATAGCACTCACATGGGGTATGACATTATCTTTCGAAGTAATATGATGCTGTGAGAGAAATTTGCCTAAACCTTCAAATACGCTTGAGTATTTTCCAACAACATCTTCTAAAGATAGAAATTTAACATTTTCTATAGTATCTATACGTTTCACTAAACATAAATCCTTACATTCCTGAAGTCCTAGTAAAGGTAGATGATTTTCAGTCTCGACTATTACAAATCTTATAGCTTTATATCTGTTTTTTATGCTACAACTCAAGCTTACCTCCCCTATACATGTTATCTTGCTAGTAGAGCCTCCATAGGGAACTAGGGAAATATTCGTTTTACTAATTTGTGCTTCAGGAGCAACCTGTTTGAGTGAGCTCAGAGGTAAGGTACTCACCTCCGCCCCTGTATCTAATTTTAACAAAATAGGTTGATTATTGACATGCACAATCGTTGTCCACATTGTTTCCTCATGACAAGTATTTTTTCTACTACTAGACTTACCGACTGAACTTAGATAAAACTCATATTCACTACTCTTATTTCGCTATCTTCCTCTATAGATTTTTCTACTTCATCAATTTTTTTCTTCATCTTATTCTCTTTTTCTTTTTTCCAACTCTGGGATTCCTCTTTGGTATTTTGACCCTCATTTTTTCCTTCTTCCTTGCAAACACTGTCAAAATGGTTGCGGCGTTGACACTTGACACAGGTTTTACCCCTAGCAGGACATTTCTGGTACCTATGAATATAACCACAGTATATGCAGGTGCTTTTGCCCAACTTTTTCAACTCATGGACAAGTGATTCATTTTGTAAGGCTTTAGACTGATCCTTGCTCACTTCAATTGCACGGCAGATATCTATTGCTTTTGTCAAAGTCAAGTCTGGTTCTCTCAACAGTTTTTCTTGAGTTGTTTTATTATGTATTCCCATAACTACGCGGTCCCTGATCATTTCATCCTGCTGGGCATATTCTGTAGTTTTCACTGCTTTTCTCAGTTCCGTAACGAAAACATCAAATGGTTGTCCCTCTTCTTGGCAGATACTATTGAATATGAAGCGCTCAAAAATAACATTCTTCTTTGGAGAACAGTACTCATTGAATTTGAACTTGACTTACTTCAACGTTCTTTCTTGTTCTGTACTGAAAGCAAATGTATTATACAGTTCTAGAGCATCTTCTCCAATTAAGTTCAGGAACACAGCTAGCTTCTTGGGTTCTTCTTTCGCTTCTAGGTCTGTGGCTGTCATGAATAAATCAAATTTCTGGCTGAACTTCCGCCAATTTTCCGAAATGTTGCCATCAAGCTGCAACGGTTCTGGCGGCTTGAAAATTGCTTCCATGATGCCTCTCTTGAATCAACTGGTCAAAAATATCTACTAGATTGGTTCTTCTTCAGACCATCAACGTTTACCTGACACCATGTATTACTTTAGTAATCCTATTCGTGATGGATAGAATAAACAACCATTAGAAAGTATACAACTTTAATTCCATTTAACTGACTAGCTGTCACTATCAAGATGACAATATATAATATCTGCATGACCATGACAACAATATACTAATAATAGAACAACACTATAATATATAGAGGATCCTAAGAACTATAACATGAGCGATATCATACAGGGATATCCATCATGGATATTGTGGATGTCCATAAGATATCCGAAAAAGGCTCTGGTATATCCTATGGACGTCCATAGGATGTGACAGTGTGACCTTTTTGGATGTCTTAAAGATATTCATTATGAATATCCATAAGATATCGACTATGGATATGGATAAGAAATAGTATACCCTATATATAAAAAAAAATCACGAATATTGGGTAGCACTCACGTCTCACTGCGTTCGAATAATGTAGTTGTCAGTTCTTATGCATCATCAATTCTGGAAGAACTCGTAGAAATCACTTCGAATTAATTATATATGAGAACAAATCGTCATCATTCGACTATTCCAAGGTTGGTAGAATCGATGATCTATAAATAGTCATCAGTTCTACCAATCTATAAAATTTCTAGGTATTGATCTTTTGTCTCTGTATCTTATGGATATTCTATGGACGTATTCAGGACGTTTGTTTCGGATATCTCAAGTACATCCGCAATCGGATATCTTATGGATTCACATTTTATGTCCACGGATATCCCGCCTTGAATAGGACTTGAAATGGATATCCATAAGATATCCTGTGTTAACTGGGATATTATGTAGGTGAGCTTATTGCAGAAGTCAGCGAGCCCATGGTGTTTGGCCTCTAGGTTTCAGACATTTCTAGGAAATGGGCCAAAAATACTCCTCCTTTATTCAGTGTTCTCCCTTTCCCACTATTGAACCATTCAATAAATTCCGTGTAGTACTTCTCATACCTTCCTTGAGACTTCTTTGGTGATTTATAATCTGTATCGCATCTGTTGCTGGAAGTTCTTCATCGCAATTTCATTGAAGCGAAAATGACAGTAACGCTCTATCTGTCAATCAAGGAAGTACACTAACTAATTTGTGGTTCGATTCACATGACAGCAATTGTTTTCCACAGCAGATAAATTCAAGGGGATTTTTCAATATTTCTTCATTTCCACAATGAATAATACAATTTGATAAATGATTTTGTACAAACTCATTTATCACACAATGCAACAGAAAAAACCTTGAAGTTATATATTGTTTTACTTACCACTCATATTCTCGCAGAATATTAGATAATGATTTCTCTCGCACTACTGCGTAGAAATGACACTTCCCAAACTAAATTGCGTGCTGGTATAGGTGAATCAGGTATGCTTGTAGAAGAAAAATTCAACATTCCTTCCTCGGGCTGACCTTCAATAATATCGAATGAAATAGATCGTCGAACAAAATAATTCGAACTTGATATCTGAATAGAATGTAATCTCATTGAAATCAATGCCAATGGTGCGGCAATCTAGATGTGACATATCGTCGGCAAAGAAACAATACCGCCAAAATCGCATTTTTTTGGAAATCGAGATTTCATGTTCAGTCGATGAATACCGCCCATCTTCATCATTCTATGTCGTTAAAGTAAAATATTACTGAATGATTTGGCGCCAAATCGACTAATAATAATACCGCCTGAGATTTTTGTATCGAGAATTATGCCTATATTCAACGGATACATTCAGTTTTCGAGGTTATACTGCATTGTTGTTGTTTTCAAGTGTTTAAATGAGTTCAAAGGTAAGTAACATCAATTATTTTCATGTTATCTCATTCATAGATTGAAACTGAGTTGAAACTGGAGAGAATGATAATGAAAGTTTGTTTTGGTTTCAAAATTCATCAACATAAAAACGGTTCCAAACAGAAATGTTGAGTTAGGTGGTATTAAATCAGAATAATACCGGTTTGCTATCAGTGATTCACGTGATTCAGGCGGTATTTTCTGAAAAATTTCAAATCTACATTTTTTCCTTCACGAATGAAATGAAAAAACTTTGACAATAATTGATATGAAGTCTGATGAGAACTGCTGTACGTTCTACACTATCGTAAAACGGCAACTTTTCTATAATAGTCAGAATGAACAATGCCTTTTTTTCTCATAATATGAGACAGAAGATGAATAACTTTGTCTCACTCATTCATTCTTATCGCTATAATTCATTGTTAAGTTAACTTCGTACTAATAAAGAAGCAAAATCTTCCTGTTCGGCAAAAACTTGAAAAGAATTACCTATGCAGTAGGTATAGAGGAAATCAAAAGGCATTCTGATTTTGCAGATTGATAGCGATGGCTATGAAGAAAGCGATTCAAGCACAAATGAAGTGGAACAAAAAGATGACGACTACATGTTTTCGGATTCGGAGTTGATGCAGGCTCTTGAAGGATATAGAGGTAAACGGCATTCTACCGAAACAGCGGACAGTGTTTCTTCAAAACGTGCTAAGTTCTCATTGAATGAAGGTTTATTGACTTTATCTGATGAAGATAACGACAACGAAAACTATTCGCCGACACTTGATGAAAAGCAACCCTTGGAAACAGACGACGTTCCTCTTACTACAACTGAAATACCAGGACGGGCTAACATATTGAGGAATGAAAACTCTGTGGAGCCATCTCATTCAATCACAGTAAACGTTGAGGATCGAAGCTCTCCCTTGATTTTTCACGAATTGCAAACCTTGACGACAGACGATGCTCAAATCACTAATGATGCTCAAATCACGAACGATGCTCAAATCACGAACGATGCCCAAATCACGAATGATGCCCAAATCACGAATGATGCTCAAATCGCAAATGATAACATTTCAATCGAGTTATCTCCAAGGGCAGATATTATTGATGATGAAGATTATCAGTCGGATGCAGAAAATTCAGACTCTGCAACTTCGGTTGAAAGATCGTTCGAAGATGTACCTTTTGATGGAAACGCACATAAGCAAAAGAAGCGGAAAGCAAATAATGATAAAAACCAGAAAGTACGTGAAAATAAGGAATTGAGGATGCAAGGAGAGTCATATCTTGGCTTCCGTCGAACTAAAGGAGGAAGGGTATTTTTAGATGTTGATAGAGAAGAGCGAAAAATGGGCGCGTCTTGTAACTCTCTACATTGTAGGAAATCTAAACAAAGGGCATGCGATCAGATAACAGAGGCAATGAGACAGAATCTGTGCACTGCATTCTGGAAAACCATGACCTGGGATCAGAGGAGAACTTTTATTGTGAACTCAGTTGAGAAAAATGCAGTGAAACGTCGCAAAACACAGAATGAAAACTCTAGAAGAGAAGCGTCATTGAGCTACTACCTCACTATCGATGGAGTTAAGAAAAAAGTCTGCATGGTAACGTATCTCAACACATTTGGCATAAAGAAGTGGACAGTTCGCTACTGGATTGATCACAAACCAGAAAATGATGGTATAGCTCCATCTACAAGTGTTACTCATTCGCAAACTGCTAGGGTTGCGTCAGCAAGGGAAAAAAATGACAGAGATTTTGTCAAACAATTTTTCAATGCCTTGCCAAAAATGCCGTCCCACTATTGTCGACAATCTACAACCCGAAGATACTTGGAGCCAATTGTTACTTCAATCGCTCAACTCTACAACTTATATTTGGATTTGATTTACTTTCGAGTCAATTTTCAAGCAAGAGAATTTATCGTTATCCAACCCAAGGAAAGATCAATGTGACTTGTGTTGTTCCTACAAAGCTGGAAATGTGTCTGAAGATGAATACACGAAGCTCATTGAACAAAAAGATAGAGCCAGAAAAGAGAAGAATGACGACAAAGAAAAAGCGAAAGCAGAAGAAGTCCATGTGTTTACCCAAAATTTACAAGCAGTTAAGTTAGCTCCTCTCACGAAAGCAAGTGCATTCTACCACAGAAAAAAACTGAACGTACATAACTTCACAATGTACAATCTCCGGGATCATGATGTTTCATGTTATTGGTTCGATGAAACTGCTTCTGACCTTTCATCTTCGACATTCGCGTCATGTATCATCGATACCTCATCAAAACTCCTTGACCAACAGAGATTACTGGTTATACTCTGGTCTGATGGCTGTAACTATCAGAATAGAAATACCGTTCTATCCAATGTTTTATTGATAAAGAGTCAGGAATATAAAATCACTATTGAACAGGAATTTCTAACTTAAGGTCATACTCAGATGGAGTGTGACTCAGTTCATAGCTCAATCGAAGCCAAGCTGAAAAACAAAGATATTTCTCTCCCAGGCCAGTATTCTGACATAACGAAAGAGGCAAGATCTAAACCAATGCCTTATAAAACCTTCTTCCTGGAACATACATTTTTCAAAGATTTTTCAAAGAAAGATTTTCAAATCTATGACTATAAGACCCGGAAGGGGGATTGGGGATTCCACTGTCGTGGACTTGAGAGCAATAAAATATTGTTATGGAGAAATATTCGTTAAATTGAATTTTGATGAGGAAACACTCCACTACCGAGGCGCCAGAGAAGAAACATCGACTGTTCTCTGGAAAGTGCTCCACCTCTTCACCTCGAAAGACAAAAAATCTCCAAATTCAAGTGGCTACATCTTCAAGAATTAAAGAGTGTCCTGACATTTTGCTGTCACTCTTTCTACGAACAAATACCCCATGAAGAATCAGGCTGAAGATCGTTACTTCTGGAGAATTGTATTCGAGTTGAGTATCTACAATATTACTCTATTCGCAAGATTTGTAACAGATCAGAATATTACTCAATTTAATCGAAATTGAAAAAAAAACAACTTTGATCGAATTCGTACTCATTGATTTTTCCTAGTACCGCATAACTACCACAAATATCACATAATACGAAAATATGACAATTTGTCATTACAATAAGATCGATAAGACCATGTTCATGGAATATAAGGAAACAAAAGAAGAAAACTCCTAATTTGTTGATACTACGCAATTTTTTCAATCTCCTGAACAATTGGCATTTCAAGACTTAGGCGGTATTGTTTCTTCGCCGACGATATGCTTACTTCACTATCACCTCTGGTCATTAATTCAGCAATCGAAATCAACAGCTGAATTGGTGGTATTCACAAAATAAGATCAACTAGCTGATCAAATTATCAAATACTCCCTTTGTGATGTTTCCCTGGAAATATTAGTACTAAATTCTACCACGATGCTGTGTTGATTGTTGTTAAATTTTTGCATTCAGTGTTACCACCATGCCTAATAACAAACGATCAGGTTGTTCCAACGTATTTGTAGAGGATATTCTACTGCGGCAATGATTTGTCCCTATTATCAACGTTTCTCGTGGTAAGATATACAGCGATTCTAGTAGTTTGTACCATTCTTTTTTCTGCGTGTGATTTCAAGTCACCAGGTGATTGAGGCTAGAAATGAATATAATATAGCCACTCCTGCTCATTCTCTATAAGATGTTATTCTTCTTGGAAAAATAGTCTTAATATGATTTCATACAAAAGCGACCCGTTTCGATGATCCACCCTGTGGAATGGATTAAAATGATTAACAGAAAACAACCATATGGAATATCAGCAGCGTTTGGTGCTTTGATTATTTTTTTTCTCTTGGAGCATACGAATAGAAATCCTGCAATGTCCATATTGGTATGTTTTTTCATGAAGTATTTGATAATCATAACTGTGTACTGAATTTTCTCAAAATAATAAAACTCCCACATATATTTTTTTCGAATTCCATAGTTCCTATAGTTCTCAATGGAAAGAAGGAAAATACTAGCCAGAGAGTTTGTCGAAGATATAGGAACTTGACCATTTTTGATTTCTCATACATACATACTTGATTTTTTCCATCAACAAACTGTCATTATGAAGTTTTGCTGTGAATGCATGAAGAGTATTTCCATGTTTTCCCAAATAAACAGAAATATTTCATGTCATTTATCGCTTTCCTGATTACTGTGTTCCAAGAGCAAGAACTTGTCATGATATCACATCGTATCATCATTTTTTCAACCCAGTATAATTTTTTTTTTAGTTCTTTCGAAAAATTATCAGTTAGAAGTTTTCAAATTTGTTTTTGGACGCATGAGCTGAAATGTCATGTCAATTCAATAATCATTTATACTCGTGTTGTTTCGATGATTGTGTTTGACAAAAGAGAATTGTGATTATTAATTCAGTTTTCCAAAATGATTTATGTTTCCTCATGGTTGCTGCTTTCTCAATAGCAAACTGGTAGTTTATGATCACCATTATATACATTTTTCTTTGAATCCGAGAGCAGCATATTGATATAATTTTATTTCAGATTCTACAAAGAATCAACATGTTTATGTATAATTTGATGATGGTATTTTCAGAGAGAAAATTTCAGCAGTAATACGGTACACTTTTCTGCTCTCTGCATCTAGGTCAACCAAATGGAGAAGCATAGCACATCTGATTGCTGAAAGCCGGAGCGCAATTTCTTCCATTTCATCGCAAGGCAGGCAAGTAACGTAATACCATAAAAGTAGGAACATCGAGCTGCATCTGTTTTCTCCAGTATATCACAAGAGATTCGAGAATTTACTGGTCGTGGTAGATTCGAAACTAATTTATGCAGCGAGTTTGCTCGAGTTAAACGTCTCTCGGGTTGAAGTATTCAGCGCACGGCCCATTACTCGACGTTACATTGCGACTCCTTATTTCGTGTACGAAGAAGACATCAGCAGCTGGGATTTTATGGTTCCCGACACCATTCAGAGTTTCAGCGGACGTCTTCTGCTCACGCATGACTCGGAGACGTTTATTGCATTCTCCCTTGCTGCGGATCTACCATCGTGTCACCGTTGCTAGGTTGAATGAGGCCACAAGGTCGAACACTGATGCTCAAACAGTATTGAATGTATCACTGCACGTTGAAAAATGGTTGAATAAACAACAATTGAAGACTTATAATATCGCAAAAAATAGAAGTGATCAACTTTGGAACTATATACAGATTGAAAGTTACTTCAAAATGTATGAAATGAGTAGGGCCAACAGAAATTGAGCATGAGTATAAGAAACTTCACGAGTAGAATATGAGAATTCGCAATCTGGATACTCAACAGCATGTGCGTATGATGCATGACTTATGGTGTGTGTGAAGAAGGAGAGAGAATTGCGTAAAATGATTTCGAATAAAGGCTGGGAATAATCATTATTCACGAATCAAATATGGTGATGATAGAAAAAGAAGAAACGCTTACGGAAATGGAACTTGGTGATATTAACCCTAATAACACAAGATGTTCATTGGATTTCCGTATTGTGTCTATTATATGTCCAAGGTGTCCATGGAAACATTCTGGACAACAATAGAATGTCCAGATGGAGACATCCAATGGATGTCCAGGTGAAGTAATCCATATGGTGTCTATTCCATGTCTCCTCTGATAATGTATCTCAACACAATCGTCTCGGGTATCATCGACATCGTTTGGCTCTTTTGAGGACCACATGCCCACATCAGGTTCAGCCGTGTCAGAGCTCTGTGATATGAGCCGTGATGCCGGCCGCCATTATCATTGTTATCAACGTTAATGCATTGATAAATATCTGAGACTACTCAGACTGATAATCTCATCATTTTGTAGCATTTGAAATTGCTACAAAATCATTTTTAGTTATCGTTTGCATGAAAATTCAAGCGAATTTGCTTTAGTGCAACATTTGGAGCTGCAAAGAATAATTTTAATTTTTTTGTTTCATACATCACCATTTTGTGAATATTAACCTTTCTAGATCTAGACAAGAAGTCATACTTACAGAGAACATTCAGTCTGATACTTGGGAAATAATCCTGAAGTACTTGAATGTAAGTTTTAATGAACCACTTCATCACACAGTGTTGAATAACAGCATAGAAATAATAACAGTCATGATTAGTAATGTCTTCTGAATTTCTATGTGCCGATGGGAG